CTGGTGACAGTGTGAAAAAAAAAAAAGTTTATTTTTTTATTTTAAATTTTTTATTACTTTTTTTTCTTTTTTTTTAAGATTTTTTTTTCATATTTCATTATGTCCAAAGTAGTACAATGTTACCATAGTAGCATTGTACTACTTTGGGTAAGTGATCAGTATTTTTTCTTTTTACACAAAGAATTACTTTGCTATAAGCACGCATTTACCTGAATGACATCGATTCATGCAGGGTTTTTTTTTTTTTTTTTTTTTGCTTAGCTGTGATTTGGCCACAGCTAAATCACATGACGTGCATGTGATCGCTGTGACCATTCACAGCTAGACACTAGTATACAATGGATGGCATGAATGAAGCCATCCATCGTATACAACTGTCATGTGACCTGCTGTGATTGGTCACAGCAGGTCACATGGTACCGGCAACGGGGCCGATACTCAGATCTGTCATCGGCCGTGTCTGAGGTACACGGGCGGTGACAGATTGCGCCGCTGCGCGGCTCTGCAGGCGCGCAAACTGCGCATGTGTGGGAGTACGCCAAATGGCAGCCTCCCGGAAAGCTAGTGCATTTTTCCGGACGCCATATGGCTATTGGCCGGGCGTCAAATGGTTAAAGTGGAACTTTACTCTTTCAATCAACATTTACCATTTTTAATCCTTATTTTGCTAGCATTAGTAAATAGATAGGAAGGTATATCATATTTATGTGTTTTAAACCATGTTTTCCTTTAGTTACTTCCTGGTTTCTATGTCTAGGCAAATTACATCTTATCCCAGTAGTCTTCAGGAGGAGAGGAGGGGTTTTCTCAGCTAAGCACATGCTCCTGCATGCATGCCTTAGCGAAAGACTTGCATGCATACATTAACCTCTTGCCGACCGCGCATAGCCGAATGACGGCTTCACCGCGGCCGGCCAGTTCTGAGTGGACGTCATATGACGTCCTCCCAGAACGCGCTCTCCTGCGCGCCCCAGGGGGCGCGCACCCGGCGATCTCCGTGATCGCTGTGTCCTACGGACACAGCTGATCACGTGATGTGGTGAAAGGCCGATCCCACCGGCCTTTTACCACGTGATCAGCGGTGTCCAATGACACGCTGATCACAGGGAAATGCAAGTGCCGGTTCTCGGCTGCACTTTCCTCACGCTGTCAGATCGTGAAAGTACTGCCGAGAACCGGCAGTTCTCAGAGCGGGGATCGGCACCGATCATCAGGGCACTGATGATCAGTGCCCTGATGATCGGTGCCCAGCAGTGACACCCGCAAGTTCCGCCCAGCAGTGCGCCCACTAGCCCCGCCCACCCGTTCCCAGCAGTGCCCCCACCTGTGCCCAGCAGTGCCCCCACCTGTGCCCAGCAGTGCCCCCACCTGTGCCACTCTGCAGTGCCACCTACCTGTGCCCAGAAGTGCCACCTACATGTGCCCAGCAGTGCCACCCACCTGTGCCCACCCACCTGTGCCCACCAGTGCCACCCACCTGTGCCCACCCACCAGTGCTGCCCACCAGTGCCACCCACCAGTGCAGCCCAGCAGTGCTGCCAGTCAGTGCCACCAGTCAGTGCCCAGGGGTTGTGCCAGTCAGTGCCGCCAGTCAGTGCCCAGAAGTGATGCCAGTCAGTGCCGTCTATCAGTACCCATCATCAGTGTCACCTATCAGTGCCGCCTATCAGTGCTGCATATCAGTGCCGCCTATCCGTGACCCCTAATTAGTGCTGTCTATCAGTGCCGCCTATCCGTGCCACCTCATTAGTACTGCCTATCAGTGCCCTTTAGTGCTGCCTATCAGTGCCCATCAGTGCCGCCTATCAGTGCCCATCAGTGCCGCCTCATCAACGCAAATCAGTGAAGGAGAAAAAATACCTGTTTGAAAAATTTTATAAAAGAAACAAATAAACTTTTTTTTTTTTTTTTCAAATTTTTTGCACTTTTTTTATTTTATAGGGCAAAAAGTAAAGTGCCCAGTGGCGATTAAATACCACCAAAAGAAAGCTCTATTTGTGAGAAAAAAATGATCAAAATTTCATATGGGTACAATGTTGCATGACCGCGCAATTGTCAAAGTGCGGCAGCGCTGAAAGCTGAAAATTGGCCTGGTAAATAAGGGGGTATAAGTGCCTGGTAGGCAAGTGGTTAAAAACATCTTACCTGCATTAGGTTTTAGTTTTTTTTTCAAAACATTGCTATAGAACACCACTAAACCTTAAGTCCCTTCTCTCGTACTTATCTGGAAACTCTCTTTGCTTCCCTTTTTACAATGTAGGAAAGGTATTCCTACCCACATACAACACACCCACTGGAGATTTCTAACTTAAAATGTATCAAAGTTTCAATACTAAAGAGTTTTTGAAAAACCACAGCTTTGCATGACTAAAACGGAATTGTGCAATTCCTGCCTAAACAGGGTTTACATAAACAGTACATAAACAGTACATAAACCCACATTGAAAATCCCAATGGAAATCATCCCACTACACGATGCTACGAACCCCAGGGGCTTCTTGCTGGGGGCAATTCTCATGGTGTTGGCTTTCTGCTGCACTATGTTCAATGAACTGCAGCAGAGTTGTGATGCGGTAGTTTGCCTCGCAAACACTGCACTGAAAAAAGTTACTAAATGCACTACTTTTTTTCCCATCGCATACCACAGCAACATTGTGGCATAAACTGTCCTCATAGGAAGCAAGCCAGCACACCACAGTTGCACTGCACTGTACCTGGTCTGCACAAACGGTTAGACTTACAACTGGCCTCTTGGTTACTTTTATCACTAATACTGTCCTTACCTGGTCACGGAGATTTAGTAGATGGTGCCAAAGTCATGTTATACTTATTTAATGATGCTACTGGGGAAAACTGTTCTGAATGTTGATTGATGCTCTACCAGACCTTTATTCTAGGCTTGATTTGATAGCGCTTTGCTCCTTATGCAGGCCATATATGGGTTGAAATCCGACAGAATTTTCTTTCGAAAATTGTAACTAAGAATTTTATTTCAAATTTTGCACTATTAGTGGGTTGCAGCATCGGTTGACTTTCCTACAGCCATCAAATTTGAGTAATCAGGTATGTTGGAACTTTTTGAAAAACGAACGAATTTCTAATGAATGATGGGAGAATTGTGCGAGAAATATAATCGAAAAAGAAATAAGCATGAGCTGTGATCTGGAAAGAAAAGAATATTCCCAGCCACGAAAATTCTTTTCTGTAGCAACGAGGTCAAATTGAAGGCTTGGTTGGTCGAATGTCGAAATCAACGGTGGCACCATCGGATTACAAAATTTTCAAAACAAAGATGCATTTGGAATTCGACCCATGTATGGTCTGCTTTAGTAAACTATCCATACAGATATATTTCAGCTGATCCAGGTAATTGCCATTTAGCCAATTCGGTAACTTCTGAAGGCAAGTGGTAGAACCAGATCATATCAAGAGCTGTCACAGCAAAAGGGGGTGAAAATTCAAACTACAAGCAAGAGTTAGAATTTTTTTTCTTTGTAAATAGGCTGCAAAATGATGTAAATTTATTTTCCTACTTTGACCTTATGGACTAATTGTTGTGGATCAAACTACACAATTTCAATATTTTTTTCTTCTAGGTTTCAATACTGCAAAATATGAAAGAGTTCAAGGGTGGGAGGGTGAATATGTAGGCAAAGAACTGTAATTGTTTTATATTAATTCTACATTATGTGCCCTATCATCAAGCAAACACTGGTAACAAATTGCAAACTGCTTGAAATAGGATATATGACTCACATTTTAGCAATCCTCCTTTGTACATAAATGTGGCACAGTAGCTCTTAGCACAGCAGTGGTATTCTGACAACTGCCTGTAAATTGACCAGTGTATACCGCCACGCCACTACTCAGGACTAATCAAAAACATTCTAATCTCTGTATCTGTGCTCAGAGGATATGAAAATCAAAAAGATGCGGTTTTGATCTTTGGAATGTCAGGTTCCTCCCATATTTGGGAGCACTATAGTTTACTTTACATAACTGGGCAAACATTACGAAATGGACTAATGCTGCCAAATATGTAAGGTGATAGCGGTGTTCATCTGTAGATATGATTACATATTAACACTCAGACAAAGGAAAGTAGGGGGTGCTGTTAACTTTGTTTGAACTCTTGAATATTAGGGCTGCCTGTCAATTCATATAACAAATATGTACAGTGCTCAGCATAAATGAGTACACCCCCAACAGATTTGTCAAAAAACCTTTACTTCACTTTCAGAATCAACATTTTCTATGGATACTATACTACAAAATACTCCCACAAATGCAGGCCAATGATTGCAAACAAGATTTGTTAATTTGCACACACACAAAAAAAAATATTTGTTTCCTAACAAATTAATTCAAGACCATGTTGCAAAAATGAATACACCCCAATGAAAGTCTTAGGCTGGCCATATCTTCCCATTTTCTGCACAATTTCCTTTAGATTTACCTTTAACTGTGTAGTGCAAGGGCCTGCCTAATTGGATACAACTGAAAGTGTTGTTTAGGTTTGTCCTCCTATTATATGGTTTTTGGTAAATCTAAACCAAAAATCTCCAGATAATTGTATAATGTATGGCCAGCCTTAGGGGAAAAGCTACATTTTATACAACAAAATCCTAATTAAGAGGAATACAACTTCAGGTGAGTCTAATTATTCATTAAACAGGTGTCCAGCTGACAGTTGATTATGAAAGGGTGTTACTTAGCCACTTGCCTACCGGGCACTTATACCCCCTTCTTTACCAGGCCAATTCAGCACTGGCACACTTTGATTGACAATTGCGCGGTCATGCAAGATTGTACCTATATGAAATTTTTATATTTTTTTTCTCACAAATAGAGCTTTCTTTGTTTCTATTATAAAATTTTTCAAACAGGTAATTTTTCTCCTTCACTGATGTGCGTTGATGAGGCAGCACTGATGGGGACTAATAGGCGGCACTGACGAGCACTGATAGGCGGCACTGATAGGCAGCACTAATGAGGCGGCACGGATAGGCAGCACTGACTGGCATCACTGCTGGGCACTGCTAGGCATTGACTGGCGCAACTGCTGGGCACTGACTGGTGGCACTGACTGGCAGCACTGCTGGGCACTGGTGGGTGGGCACAGGTGGGTGGCACTGCTGGGCACAGGTAAGTGGCACTTCTGAGCACAGGTGTGTGGCACTGCTGGGTGGCACAGGTGGGTGCACTGCTGGGCACAGGTGGCGCACTGCTAGGCACAGGTGGGTGCACTGCTAGGCACAGGTGGACGGAACTGGTGGGTGGCACTGCTGGGCACTGATCATCAGGACACCAATTATCAGTGCCCTGATGATCGGTGCCTGCTCTGATCCCTGCTCTGACAACTGCCGGTCCTCAGCAGTACTTTCTTCACGCTCTGACAGCGTGAGGAAAGTGCAGCCGAGAACCGGCAATTGCATTTCCCGGTGATCAGCGTGTCATTGGACACGGCTGATCACGTGGTAAAAGGCCGCTGTGATTGGCCTTTTACCACATCACGTGATCAGCTGTGTCCGTAGGACACAGCGATCATGGAGATCGCCGGGAGCACGCCCCCGGGGGCACGCAGGAGAGCGCGTTCTGGGAGGACGTCATATGACGCCCTCCCAGAACTGGCCAGCCACAGTGTAGCCGTCATTCGGCTATTTGCGGTCGGCAAGTGGTTAACAAAGAAACCCCCTTCCCATTTCATGCTGTGAGCAATAGCACCACATGGAAGAGAAATGTTACAAGGCCTGAGAAAGAAGATTATTTCTTTACACAAGAAAGGTGAAGGCTAAGAGAAGATCAGCAAAGCTTTATTTATCAGTCAGAATACTGTAGCAAAAGTGATACAAAAATTTAACAAAGATGGAACTGCAACCATCTCACAGAGAAGTCCAGGCTGTCCACAGAAGTTAACACCTCGACAGGAGCATCTTCTGATGAGAAGGGTTGAAAAAAATGGCCATGCAAGTTCACTGCAATTAGCTAAAGAAGTAGAAAGCCAAACTGGGGTGATTGTTTTCCATGACACAATACAGAGTACACTGCAGAGGAATGGCATGCATGGGTGTCGTCTACGAAGGAAGCCTCTCCTAAGGTCCGCCTAGAATTTGCCAGGGCCCATGCTGAAAAAGAAGACTACTGGGACTCTGTACTCTGGAGTGATGAGACCAAGATAAATGTTTTTGGAACTGATGGCTTCAAAACTGTATTGCATTGCAAAGATTAGGAGTACAAAGAAAAATGCATGGTGCCTACAGTGAAACATGGTGGTGGCAGTGTCCTTCTGTGTGGCTGCACGGTGTCAGGGAGCTGCATTTCATTGATGGCATCATGAATTCACAGATGTACTGCTCTATACTGAAAAAGAAGATGCTACCATCACTCCGTGCCTTTGGTCGTCATGCACTTTTCCAACATGACAATGCAATAATAGAAAACACACATCAAAGGCCACTGCTGCATTTCTGAAGAACAGGGTGAAAGTGATTCAGTGCCCAAGTATATCTCCTGAACTGAACCCAATCGAACTCCTATGGGGAATTCTGAAGAGACAAGTTGAGCATCACTCTCCATCCAGCATCCAGGCTCTAAAAAAGGTCGTTCTTGAAAAATGGAAAAAGATAGATGTTGCAATATGTTGCCAACTTGTTCATTCCAGCAGCCTGAGAGCGAATGTCACTGGGTTACGTTAATTAAGCAATTAACTCTTTAAGCTACTACCACCACCTTTTGACTGAGAAGGCGGAAACTCACAATCTTAGCTAGAACAAATATTAAAAATAAACGTCTGTACACACACTGTCACCACAGACAGGTAAATTTAGAGATTTGTCATATAGGGTTTAATAATGAAAAAGGTCAAATTGAGGCAAATAAAATATTTACAGAAAAAAAGGTGCTACAAGGAAACAAAGACACAATAAAGCAATAGAATTAAAAAAGGAATTGAAAATCAAGAATACTTGTAAAGTCCTTAGTTTTAGCAGAGTTCAGTCAATAAGCAAGGTATTATCGGCTGACAGATACTGAAGGTACATGAGAGCTGTCAAATCTGTTTGCAATCTGTTTTTTATCTGACATCACAGGGGAGGGGGTGTTGACAAAGACCATGTGACCAATCTTGTGGTTTCAGTGGTGGATGCTGGGAGGTCGCCACGTTTATGACCAAGTCCCAAATACAGTTTCTTTTAAGTATTCATATTCCTGAATACCTATAATTTTACCGTCTGTTACCATGCAGGTTATTGTCCAGCATGGGATTAGCTTCAAAAAGGATATAGATATGATAGGTCTTGGAGATCTATTCCTCATAGGAGGGGTGTGGAAGCCTAATCTTCTCTGGTACCTCCTAGTATAGGGGTGTTTGGGTTCAAAATGCTACCCAATAACTGAGGGAGGTAAATATGTCTATATTCTGGCTGTGCTGTCATTCTTTCATGAGTATGACACAATGACACATGCTGAAGCTTTAGAGTCTTAGTTGATAATCAGAAATGTTTATTCCACTAACGTATTTATGACCCGATATCAGTTAGTTCTCCGAATTGCTCAAGTTTGCGGGGAGGGGGTGACAGTTGTATTAGATTGTAAGCTCCCATGAGCGGGGCCCTCCTAACTCTCTTATATTGAACTGTATTGTTGCTGTATTGTCTCCTTTTATATTGTAAAGCACTGAGAAAACTGTTGCTATATAAATCCTGTATAATAATAATATTAGGGTTCCCAGACTGGAATGGTGGATTGGGCTCATAAGCATGAGAGGGCCTGCATCTGTCCTGGTCTGATAAGAAGGCTCTGGCATCAGTTAACAGTTGTGTATTGCACCAGAGGCTTCCTGGGGGGATGAAGAGAAGGGAACCACTGCTGCTATTCACCAACATGTGTTACAAACTGTCATGGCTGAAATCTGAACATGGCATCCTTGCTCTTTCACACAGCTTTGTGAGGGCTCAGTACACATTACCATTACAGTATTGTCTGCATGCAGTACATAAAAAAAAAAAACCTATATAATAAAAAGTGGATTTACTCTGAAACACAGACAACTGACAGTGTGCACAAAAATAGATGAAACTTACAAGGAAATCTTGAAAGAGATGATAAGACTGGAGAAATGTAGAACCTCCTTATATGGCTGAAATACATAGAGCTCTAGCAAGGTCCTTTTCTTACATAGAACAGTCATTTTGTAGCAGCCTTAAGCAGGACTTAAAAAAGAAATTTGTCATGTATTCATTAAAAAAACAAAAAGACTGAATTTAACGTAATGCTAGTATAAGTTCTCGAAATCATATTAAAAGGAGCAGACTGGAGGTGGTGACACAAAGCTGCAGGAGTGCCACACTGAACAGAAGGGTCAATGTCGTGCTGTATAGCAATGGAAAATCATAAGAGTAGCTGAACAAAAATACAAATATTTTATTATGTAAAGCAGTTCATTTATATGTATTTCAACTGTGTACACAGCTGTCTTCGCTGGAGATTTTATGCTACAAAAAGAGACATATAAGGAAGAATAGACACTACATTAATTGTGAAGACATTAGAGGAAAATTTAAGCTTAGATCATGTTTTCAAACAATACAAAATTTACCAGAACAGCTAAATTGTTAGTGGAAATGATATCTCTCTAAACAGATAGGAAGGTATGTTTTATTTACTTTTAAACTATTTTGTTTATTTATATTTCTTCTGTTGCTTCCTGGTCTAGGCCAAAATTATGTCATACATCCTAGGAGTCCTCACCTGATTTTTTTTTTTTCTTTCATCTGAAGGATGGAAGGAGAGGTTTTCTCAGTTAAGCATGCCCTCCTGTCTGAGCTAAGGAAGTAAATGCTACATGAATCATCTGCCCTTATTCAAGATGGCCATGCCTAAAAATGCTAGGGGGGTGTTTTTCAAAGTGACTTCCCAACAAAATAAAGCATGGATACAAGGATGGATGGGTGAGTTTGATTTGAATATTAAAAATTAATTCAATAGTTTTATTCAGTTTGTTGTGCTCTGATACAGTTGATTTCTACTTTAAAGCTGCTCTACAGGGTTTTTTTGGTGTTTTTTTTTTAAAGCTCAATTTTTTATAAAGACTCGCTCTATGCATACTTCTTCAGGCTGGACATATGATTTCACAGGTTGTTTCTCTTCTTTTCCAGTGGCAGTGAGTGGCAAATAGTCCTTCTTCATGCACTTATCTGATGATGTGAACTGTTTAATGTAGTAGTACGGTGTACCAATCCCAGTATGATGGCACCCCTATGTTGGGTCCAAGAGGGTTGAATAATGATGATCTCAACCTGGAAGAGGTACAGTATTTAATGGTGGAGTAGACTATCTGCAGGCATAGTACCACATTGAAAAAAAGAGTATTGGGGAAAAGCTGCCTTGGGCATTGGAGTTCCATTTTAACTTAAAGTAGAGTAAACTTGTCAAAGCAGAAAAGTTCTCAAGATAGAAATATCAAGCAGTCACTGCAGTCCTTCTGAAAGCAGTGATTGCTTGGCTGTCATACTGCTTTGGCTTCAATAATTTCTGAGTTGTTGGCACAGAACAAGTATAGAGATAAGGAATTATAACTTTTGAAGTCAGAAGTTTGTGAAATTAAAGTACTGAAGTTAAACATTGCCAAGCAATTGGGAGGTGTCAATAATGGCCATCTATAAATCTTTATATATCAATATTGTACCGCGCTCCAATATATTCAACTATGAGTGATATTATAAATTTTAAGTGATATTATAAATTGCTAAGTGTATCACCAATAATTCAATAATTATCTGAATCAATTATACTTAAATCCATAATTAATATAAATATATAAATAAATTATAATAATAAATGTAAAAGAATCAATTAATATTTTTAAATAAATTATTGGAGTGAAAAAAAATATTGTTTAAAAAAAAAAAAAAAAAATTTAAATAAATTATTGGGGTGAAAAAAAAATATTGTTAAAAAAAAATTAAAATGTATAAGTAAAAAATAAAAATGGGAATAACAGTTCAGTTCATAAGAGTTGAGATGGTATTGTAGTTCAATCTAATCTGTGTGATGAGTCAGTGTTCACGGCGTGAACCTCTCTCTCCTTTCTCCTCTCCTCTCTCCTCAACACAGCCTTCTCAATAGGACTTTCTCCACTGGCTGCTTGGCTTATTCCTCCATATACGATACATACAGAGAAGGGAAAAGAAACATAGTGTCTTATCCGGGATAACGATTGTTTATTAAGCTTTGATCTCCCACTCACATGGTATAAATGAAAGTAGCGCTTTGTATAAAATGTGTCCAGATCCTACTACAAACAACCTTGCAGGTGTGTTTGTCCTCATTGAATATACTCGCCGTTCCTTCTGTGGATGCGTGATGACGTCACCGCCCCTCCCCTACGCGTTACGCTACAGGGACTCGTAGCTTCCTCTGGGGGATGTAGTTTTACATGTCATCATGCACTGAGACTATTTATATCCTACCGGCGCCATTTTTGCTGTGATTTAT